GCCCCCGGGGGTGGGGCTTTGACCCCCAGTGCCTACGAGCCAGCCCACGTGTGAGACCGCTCCTGGCCGCGCGTGCAGGAGTTGCTGTGCGTGTATTGTGCAGCCGTCGTCATGGCTACGGTGTAGCGGGATCCAGCCTGCCGCCTGCCAAACCAGCTCAGGGGCCAGCGGAGTCCACCTCCTTTGAGAGATTTTCCATCTCCCCAAAGCCCCCTCTTCTTCCCTGAACCCCATGAAAGCCCCCTATCTCCCTAAGCCCCCAGGCCTCTGTGTGGCTCCCCCACCTCTCCTCTGCAACCCATGGACACCCATCAGTTCTGTGGGGCTTTACGAACCCCCAGTTCTCCCCAGAACCCCTGTGTCCTTTGAAATCTGCCGTCATTTCCTTCAAGGCCCCTTTCTCCTGCCTCAGCCCAGGTCGTGTGGAAGACCTGCAGGAACGCATGGAGCAAAGACAGCGGTAGGGCTGGAGATTAGAGCAGGCAGGACTTCCTGTCCCAAGCTGGGCTTGACTTGGAATCGGCTCAGTAACCAGGGAGCTGGGGTGGTCTCGTCCCGCAGGGAGCCTGAGAATCCACCCTCATCCAGGGCCAGACCACACGGAGGGAAGATCCAGCTCCAATGGCAATAAGGAGGGTAAGTTCCAGAAATTCCAGGCCCATCATCCATCTTTCCTCTCTGAGCAGCTCTGTGGGGTCCAGGGAGAGGACTTGAGGGGAACAGAGAAGGAGCTGCCCCACCCCAGGGAGCCAGGAAACTCGAGCATTTCTTCCACTCTTCGGTCAGACCCTTCTTGACTCCAGTGGAGCCACTCTCCTCTAGCTGTTCCAGCAAGCCTCACTGCCCTTCCCCTCCCCTAGGTCCCAGGGCCCCATTTCCCCTCTCCCTTGGTGGAACCTGGCTCCAAAGCCAGTGCCTGAAACTGGGCGTCTGCTTGCTCCTGCATCCCCACACACTGAGCAACTCCAGACTCAGACTCCAGGGGTCTGCCCAGCACGGCTCTGCGGCCAGTGGTAGGACGCCCGATTCTTGGCAGAGTCCCCATTCCAGGCACTGTTCCAAGCCCTTTACACCCCCTGGCTTAAGTCTCCCAACAACTACATGAGGGAGGGGCTGTCATTCTCTTCATTCTTGTTTACGGACAACCAAGGCAGGGGAGCCTAAAGGAGGTGCACACAGCCAGGATGTGGTCAACCCCGAGCTCTATCCAGGTGGTCGGCTCCAGAGTCCTGCCCCTGCCCCACGCCATGCTGCCATCCTCTTCAAGGGCCATCCACCCATGGGTGTCTCTTCAAGCTGGCTGAACCTGGATTATGGGACCTGGCCTTGCACCCCGGCCTTCTCTCTCTCCCACCTAAGGCTCTTTCCTTCTCTCCCTGTTCTAGCCTTGTTCTGCCCCAGGTTCATCGAGCACCCCAACCCCTGGTCCCTTTGAATTTATCTGACCCCAACAGCTCTATAGGGACCTCTCTACTCAGAACCTGCTGTCTCTGGTCTCTCCTCCAGGAACCCGCAGCAGCCTGTCCACCGTGAGCAGAACCCTGGAGAAGTTGAAGCCAGGGGGCCGTGGGACTGGGGATGGCTGAGGCGTGGGCTGAGCGGCTGCCTCTGCCCTGAGCTGCCCTCCCTGCCTGCCTGTGACTTGTATCTCACAGCCCTCCTGGGCCCATGTTAGGAGCTCCAAACTTGAGATGAACCAGGCCCTGGAGACACCGGCCCTACATTCGCCCAGGCCAAGGCCCTTTAGAACGGACCGCACTGGTGCTGGCTGGAACAAAAGCCAGGTGTCTCCAGAGCTCCCGCAGGCTCCCTTGTTCCAGGCCCTTAACCTGCTTTTTCTTTCTGGACTGCAGCTCAGCCTCCTTCCCTTTTGGATCTACTGACTTGTTACTCTGGAGTTTGGGCCCCAGGTCTCTGAGTAGAACTGACTATGCCCTAGTCTCTGTGGCCTTCATCCTAGAAGCAGGCCACAAGCCCACAGGAGACAGGGCCCTGGGTTGAACCCCTTGTCCCACAGGGCGTGGCCTGGCATCTAGCGCTCACGAAGCAGCTATAGGAGCCAGAACAGATGCCTTCAGGGTATGGAAAACGCCTGGGCAGGTCCCCAGAGCCAGGCCCTGAAGTGCAGGGAACCAGATGATATGTCCTTGAGGGACCCCTGGTCCCTGGAGAAGGGAAACTCAACAGAAACTATCATCCTTGATAGGAGCCAAGGTGAGGCGCCAGCCTGGCCTGGGGGTCAGCGGTGGCATCTGAGTGGAGGTCTGCTCTGAGACTCAGCATTTAACTCCGCCATGTGAGCCTTCTCGTGACTGACTCCAGATGACCCCTGTAGCTGCCCTCCACTCCCTGCCCAGTCTTTGCTCCCTGAGCAAGCTAAGCACACTCATGCCTCCAAACCTTGCCTGGGTTCTGCCTGTGTTCTGGAGGGCCCCGCTCCTTGCGGCCTCTCTTAAAGACCCAGTTCAAAACGTCCCCTGACCTCATGCTCTCCTCATCCTCACTGAATATAGTCCCTTTTTCTAGTCCCTAGCACTGGACAGGGCACACAGTATCTACTCAATAAATATTAGTGGCTTAAATTTAATGTAAAAGAATTCCTCGGCTTTCCCTGGAGAGCCACTTCGAAGCCTCATTAAGTCCAGAGCAGGGCACGAAGTCCAGAGCAGGAAGGCCTGGGTGTGTATGGCCAGGCAGAAAGCATGGCTCCTCCCTCCACACCTGTACCCTCCAGGGGCAGCAGAGTGGTTTGACTTCTAGATACACTTGCTCCACGTGGCCTCTGGCCTTGTTTGGTCTCATTCCTCATTCTTCCAGGACCGGCACTGATGACACCTCTTCCTCAAAGCCTCCCCTGACTTGCTATGTGCCCCAGGCTTCCCTCCATCACAGCCCAACCACTCCTGATGGCCTGTGTATTTTTTCCCCTCTTGAGAGTAGGAGCAGAGGGTCAGGTACACAGAAGGCACACAGTGAGTGCTGGAAAACAGGTCAAAATTGGAGAGCCCATCTCACTACACACAGCGGACACTGAGGTCACGCTCAGGAAAAAGGATTCATCACATTCCACGGAGAAAGGACGTGGAGCCTGGCCTTGCACCCAGGTCTCCTATGGCTCCCCACCCAAGGCTCTTTCCTCTGCCATCCTTTGTGCAGGCTGGAGGTCAACTCCCTGACCACAGCAGGACAGACTGCCACGAAGGGGCTGAATTCACATCTGCAGAGACTTTGGTCCCTCCAGTCTGAGGGAAGTTGCCTTTCTTTTTCTTGGTCATTTTTCATTTTATTGCCAGAAGGTATATGTGCTCACCAACTAAAGAGAGAGAGAGAAAAAGAGAGACAGACTCCCCCGGGGGCATGGCTATGCCACAATCCCTTTTTCTCTGTTTCTTCATCCCATCGGAATTTTCAAGCTGTAAGGGTCAGAATTCAAACAGCAGTGGGCCACGAGAGGTCTGGGTTTCTACACACAGGCTTACCCACTGTGCTTTGGGACGGGGCCTCCATCCTCCTTTCCTTCAATCTCCCTCACACACATTAGGCCTGGGGGCTCCTCCTAGATCAGCGAGGAGACCCTTCCTTTTAGCCATCTGCAGGCCTCACCTGAGTGCCCCAAAGAGATGCCGAGGGTGGAAGGCTGGGAGTCAGAGAGCCTGAGCTGTAGGGAGGGTGGTTGCTCCTCCCCACCACTAGCAACCTCTTCCAGCCACGATCCCCCTAAGGCAAGGCTACAGTATCCCGATGCCTGGCAGAGAGGTGCTGGGGACAGGCATGGAATAAATTAAGGGATAAGTATATAAAAAGGCAAGAACTGGTGGGGTAGAGATTAAGGTAGCTGAATCCCACATGACCAAATGCACGGTTCAAGTCCCAGACCTGGTGTCTTGAAAAACACACTGGGTACGTGTGTGTGAGCCCAACATCCTGAGAGGAGAATGGAGAAGGAACTGTGGTGTGGCCATCCCCCCTGGGGGAATGATTTCTCATTCTCTTTCTCTCTCTGAGTGCATGCACTCTACAGCAAAACTTAAAGAAGGAAAAACAAAACCAAAAGAAAATAAAAATAACTATGCCCATTGGGGAAGAACTGGGTGAGGCTTCGAATTCAAAAGACCCTTGAAACTAGGTGGGATTTTGGAGGCCTGGGACTATAGTTTTTCTCATTTTACCTGCTGCAGGCTTCCGGAAACCTCCTCCTCTCTATTCTAGACAAATGTCCAGCTACTCCACGCACCCACAGGGATGGTCCAGGTGGAGACCATGCTTTCTCCCCTTGTGCTCTGAGAAAATGTGAGGTTAGGCCAAGCTGGCAGGGTGGGACAGTAGGCAAAGTTAGCAGGGAGTGCTCTTTCACCTCAGAGCAGCAACATTTCAGCAAGGAGGGGACTGTGGACAGGGACAAGCCATTGCCCTCAGCTCTTTCTTCAGTCTGGTCAATGAATGAAATTGGATCTTTCCAATTTCCATGCTCTGAGCCCTGGACTGTGGCTATGCCTGGCCCAGGGCTGGGTACCGGGGAATGATCCAGCAACGAACAGAGGTGGAGAGTGAGTGGTCCAGGCAGTCACATGGCCCTGGGTAGACCTGGAGGAGGACTGTCCAGGCAAGAGTCTCCAGATAAGATTCCCATCCTGGAAGGCCCCCAGAGGCTCGTGGGGCTGGAGGCTCCGAGTTCTTGGGCCTCAGTTTCCTCACCTGCGAATGGAGGATGATTGCGACACCTCCCTCACAGGCCACCTTCGAAGGAGGAGAAAATGAATGATGGAAGAGGCTGGAGGAGATACTCTTCCAGCTGAACTCTCCGGGTCTGGAAAATCCGTGCCCAGATCTCCGCCCACCCCACTCCCGTCCTCTCATCGAAATCCATCCTGGAGATGGGCACTCTGCCCGCCTCTCTCCCCTCTTCCTCACCCCAAGGAGCTCTTAGGACTCCCACCGGGAGACTCAGCCCCTATATGGTCTCGTGGCCACGCCCCTTTCTAGGGGGCAGGATTGGAGGAGGCTGATTGGGGAAGGGGTGCTGAAAACAAGCCCCATCCTTGGAAAAAGATCTTCCTACCCTTCACAGCTCCAGTTGGGAATCTTTCTGAGGCTGAAGGCGGAGCCGGTGCGACCTGTACGCCTGGCGCTGGAGTGAGTGCAAGGTTTCATGCTGGGCTGTGCAGAGTGCAGATGGGACGGGGCGGCCGGGCGGGCTAGGAGTTACCTGCGCCGGTGCTTGAGACGCGCAAAACGAGCAGCGGAGGGCCAAGGGAGGCGCGGAGCGGGAGAGGGGAAGGACTTGGTGAGAACGTCGTCACCCCATGCTGGAAGGGGAGCCGAAGGTC